GAAATCTGTACTGCTGTACGCTAGCGAAACATGGTGCGTATCAGCGGAGATCACACAGAAGCTGCAGGTGTTCATCAACCGATGCCTGCGGTATATAATTCGTGCTTGGTGGCCTCACAACTGGATTTCGAATGCCGAGCTCCATCGACGGTGTCACCAGAAGCCGATATCGACAGAAATTCGGGAACGTAAGTGGAGGTGGGTTGGCCACACTCTACGGAAGAGCGGAAATGAAATCTGCAAACAAGCGCTGGATTGGAATCCAGCCGGACATCGCAGCAGAGGCAGACCCAGGGGCTCATGGCGGCGAAGCCTAAACAAGGAGATTAAGCAAGTCGACCGGAATTTGACCTGGGCCCAGGTCAAGGCGAAAGCAAACAATCGCCCAGGATGGAGATCTTTCACGTTGGCCCTTTGCGCCAGGGATGGCGCTCAGGACACTTAATAATAATGGTACAGGCTGGGGGGAGCTGTACGATGATAACCGTTCTACTTTGATTTATGATCTCTGCGACAACTTCAACATGACAATCCTTAACAATGGAGAAGTAACACGTTTGGCTGGTCCATCCTCGAATGGTAGCAGATTAGACTTTACCTTTTGCTCCAATTCACTATCGTTGGATTGCACTTGGCATGTAATCCAGGATCCACACGGTAGTGATCATTTGCCGATCAAAATTTCGATTGCCAGTGGGTTCAACTCGTCAGAATCCGTTAACGTCGCGTATGATCTAACCCGTAACATCGATTGGACTAAGTTCCAATCCGCGATAGACGATACAGTTGGAGGAATATAATTTCCTCTCTAATCTCATCGTCGACAGCGCACTTCAAGCTCAAACACGACCGGTGCCGCGATCGTCTATTCGTAAGAAAACACCATCGCTCTGGTGGGATCAACAATGCACGGAGGTTTACCGTAAAAAGTCCGACGCGTTTAAACTTTTTCGGAAACGCGGAACACGCGAGCATTTCGACGCATACACATCTCTTGAACGCGAACTCAAGAGCCTCATCAAGGCCAAAAAACGGGGTTACTGGCGGCAGTTTGTAGACGGATTGTCGCGCGAAACGTCTATGAATACGCTTTGGAGTACGGCGCGAAGAATGCGTAACCGGTCTACTAACAACGAAAGCGAGGAATGCTCGGATCAATGGATTCTTAAATTCGCGCGAAAAGTGTGTCCGGATTCCGTGCCGTCGCAGTTGATTCCTCGCGAAACCGCGAATTCGGTAGACGAAATCAGTCAGCCTTTTTCAATGGTGGAACTTTCACTCGCTCTCCTTTTGTGTGGCAATTCTGGGATCTGATAGAATCAAGTCCAACTTGCTGAAAAACCTCCCAGACGTCGCTAAGAGGCGCATGTTGAACTTGTACAATCAGTTCTTGGAGCTCAATATTGTTCCCGACGATTGGAGACGAGTAAGGGTGATAGCCATTAAAAAGCCTGATAAACCCGCGTCGGATCACAATTCGTATCGGCCCATCGCGATGCTGTCGTGTATTCGGAAATTGATGGAGAAAATGATCCTTTTTCGCCTCGACAAATGGGTTGAGACGAACCACCTTTTTTCAGATACTCAATTTGGTTTCCGTAGGGGTAAGGGAACGAACGACTGTCTCGCGTTGCTTTCCTCGGAAATTCAGTTGGCTTTTGCTAAGAAAGAGCAAATGGCTTCTGTGTTCTTGGATATCAAGGGGGCTTTTGATTCAGTATCCGTTGAAGTTCTTTCAGAGAAACTCCACGCTTGTGGATTGTCTCCATTAATGAATAATTTTTTGTACAATTTGCTGTCAGAAAAACATATGAGCTTTTCTCATGGAAACTCTACAGCTTTTCGATTTAGCTACATGGGTCTCCCCCAAGGCTCATGTTTAGGCCCCTTTTGTACAATTTCTACGTTAGAGAAATTGACAATTGTCTTAGTGACAATTGCACGTTGAGACAACTTGCAGATGATGGCGTAGTGTCTATCACTGGGCCAAAAGAGGTTGACCTGCAAGGACCCTTACAGGATACCTTGGACAATTTGTCTACTTGGGCTATTCAGCTAGGTATCGAATTCTCCACGGAGAAAACTGAGTTGGTCGTTTTTTCTAGGAAGCATAGCCCAGCACAACCGAAGCTTCAACTTTTGGGTAAACCGATCACTCATTCCATGTCTTTTAAATATCTCGGGGTCTGGTTCGATTCCAAATGCACCTGGAGATCCCACATTGAGTATCTGAGACGAAAATGCTAACTAAGGATCAATTTCCTTCGATCAATTACCGGAACGTGGTGGGGAGCCCATCCACAAGATCTTCTGACGTTGTACCGGACAACGATTTTATCGGTTCTAGAATATGGTAGTTTTTGTTTCCAGTCGGCAGCTAAAACGCACATCATCAAGCTGGAACGGATCCAGTATCGTTGTCTTCGTATCGCGTTAGGATGCATGCACTCGACTCATACTATGAGTCTCGAAGTGCTGGCGGGCATGTTGCCACTATCCGTCCGTTTTTCAGAGTTATCTCTGAGGCTCCTCACCCGTTGCGAAGTAATGAACCCACTGGTGATTGCAAATTTTGAGAAGCTTCTGGAGCTAAATCCTCAAACATGTTTTATGACTTTGTACTACCTAAATTTAACACAGGATGTCAGCCCTTCAAGAAATATTCCCAATCGTGTAGTCTTCTCCGATTTCGGCAATTCAGTGAATTTTGATTTATCTATGACGCAGGAAATCCGCGGAATTCCAGAGCATCATCGTCCTATGATTGCTCCGTCATTATACGCTGCAAAGTTTGGCCATGTTGATTCTGCAAGAACGTTTTTCACAGATGGATCTCTAATAGAGGAGTCCGCTGGTTTTGGTGTATTTAATGAATTTCATAGCGCCTCTCGAAAACTTGAAGCTCCTTGTTCTGTGTATGTGGCTGAACTAGCAGCAATTCACTACACTTTGGAAACTATTGCTTCACTTCTTCCAGACCACTACTTTATTTTTACGGATAGTCTCAGTTCTGTCGAGGCTATCCGTTCCATTAGGCCGGTAAAGCACTTCTCGTATTTTCTCTTGAAAATACGAGAACTGCTTAGTGCTTTATCCGTGCGCTCTTTCATCATCACCTTCGCGTGGGTCCCTTCACATTGCTCAATTTTGGGCAATGAGAAGGCGGATTCACTTGCGAAGGTGGGCGCTATGGAAGGCGACATTTATGATCGACAAATCGCCTATAGTGAATTTTTCTCTATTTATCGTCAGCAGTCACTCGTTAGCTGGCAACATCAATGGAGTGAAGGGAGCTTGGGACGATGGCTACATTCAATTATCCTTAAGGTGTCGAAGTTTGCATGGTTCAAAGGGTTGGACTTGGGTCGAGACTTCATACGCGTGATGTCTCGTCTCATGTCCAATCACTATTGTCTAAACGCTCACTTGTTCCGTGTGGGGTTGGGAGACAGCAATCTCTGTGAATGTGGACAAGGTTACCAGGACGCTGATCACATCCTTTGGTCTTGTGCGGAGTATCGTGGAGTCAGATCACATTTTTATGATTCCCTTCGGGCTCGAGGTAGACAACCTAATGTTCCAGTTCGGGATATTTTGGCTAGACGCGATCTGGAGTTTATAAAACTCATATATGTTTACTTTAAGGATATTAACCTTAGATTGTAAGTTTGATTAACCTTGTGTTTAGTTTGTGTTTTGTACGTCTGGGGTTTTTTTTTCAATGTTTGTTTTCAAGATGAATAGAAATAATTTCATGCTTTAGGATTAATTAAATAGTTATATCGTAAACCACATTTAAAACCTCCTTCTTCCCTTTTCCCAAAAAAAATTGTAAATCTCCACTAACCTCGAGACGACCGCGAGTACTCGGTCCAGTTCCTTTAACTTTAAATATAAGACAGTAACAATGTATAATGCAAAGGATAACCCTGTCTGTAAAGTTTATTCGATTGAGCCTGTACAAATAAAGTAATTACAAAAAAAAAAAAAAATAATGAATAATTTCAGGCAAAAATCGTTACAATCCTCAATTGCAACGATTAATTCCCTTTATAATTAGATAAGATTTAGTTTTAGTTTTTAGTTTTAAGATATCAATTGTTATACTGACATGCAGGTTAAAAAACCTGTTTAAAATACTGAATTGCCAAGACATGAACAATGTAAAAACACTTAGATATATATCATAACAATTAAGGCTGGTACGCTACTGCAGTAACTGGAGCACCTAGATTAAAAATGAAATGTAATTTATTTTAAATTTAGAACAAATAAAAAGTTAAAAAAAAAAAAAAAAAAGGTTTCCTCCTTGCCAAAAACCGGAGTCTGTTTCCAACCGGTCCCAAACCCAATCAGCGAAAACACGGCGCTGTCTATGATCGTTAAGCTTGAGCTCCTGGGTCAATATGGGATATTCTCGGAAGACCATGCGTTCCGTCCACGTACGGGTGGTGGTTCAGCGTTCACCGATCCAGTTTCCTCGAATTTGTTCACCACATTACGAATAGTCCTGTCGGTAGGATGATTATTACGACCGTAAAATGGGCGAAGCGCTTGGAACGTTGCTCGCCAAGAACACTTACTTTTATAAAATAATTTTATCATTTGCACGTGTTATTTGGACGAAATTACTCTCCATGGTAATTTGGCAAGACACACTGAATAAATGTAGCTAATTTGATACTTGTAGCTTTAACAATATGGCTGCTATGAACTGTCAAAGTTAGGAAATCCCTATTGAAAAAAAAAACTTTCTATAAAGTAAGTTCAACAACATGAAAAAAAAAAACAATTATATAGCAATATCAACTGTTTTAAAAAGAATTTGAGGTTTTGGTGGATATTTGGTCTAGGGTGAACCACTGTACGCCAGTGTTGTATTTCTGGGCGGGTTTTGTTCGTCTCAAACAATGCCAGGTTACCGGATGATGAAAAAGGAAAAGGCTAACTACTTGTTCTAAACTTTTAAAAACTCTTTTTTATTAACATTATATTCGCTTTTAACAAAGCTTTGGGAAAACGGGGGCATATGCGATGTTGCAATTGTTTTTATAATTACGAATCATCTTGACATAACCATTTTCTCCCCAACGAGTTCCCCATGAATTCTTCACCAACCAGTAGTCATATTTACCATCGTTACCATATCCAACCACAACCATCTGGAATAAAATGAAGAAATTTATACAATTTCGTATGCCTCATTTCCATCGGGAGGATAGTTAAAAAATACTTACAGCATGATTAGTTTCAGCTCCCGCACACTTCGAGTCCCAGAAGAGACCACCCTTGTATAACATGAATTTTTTGCTGGCGTGCATACTAATGGCTACAGGTCCATATGTACCAACCGCAAACTGCAGAGCGGACTCGCTTCCCCGTTTGACATCGTAATAGCCGCAAACGGTTGCTTTTGAATATTGAGAGTCGTAACGACAGGAGAAATCATCGGCCTGATACGGGTAGCTGCTTTCTCCATCGATACCTTTATTGCTTTTTATATACCTATAGGCATTTCGGACATTACCTCCATCACATCCATCATTACCATAGTTTCGTGTACAATCGATCAAATTTTGTTCGGATAATATCACAACCTTTTTCTTTTGCAGAATATAGTGTGACTCGAGGGCAGCATTTGCTGCGAATGCCCAACACGACCCACATTTTCCTGTAAAAATCCGTAATAAATTTTGTTATCTATAGCTTTACTTCCCATCAGATTGCATTCAATACTTACCTTGGGATCGAACAGGTGTCACGGCATCTTTAGATCTCCAATCTATGCTAGACGGTATTTCCACTACTTCCGGAACATAGAGCTGCTCTCCATAGCTTACATCGTTTCTGTTGAGTATGAAAAAAAAAATAGTTATTTATATTACACCTACGCGTTAACAACATAAAACCCTGACAAGTTAACAAAATAGGACAATAGGACAGATGATCTACAAGCAAGCCTAGCACGCCCCAAGTTGCTCAGCCAAGTGAAATTTATTTCCTTCCGTAAAATTTTAGTTCAGTCCCTTTATCAGCAAAATTGTCAACTGAACTTTCAAATGGCGGTACGTTTAGTTAAAAAAAAAAAATTCTAAATAGCGCTAACGATAAAAAATACTGATTTGTATCATATCTTAAGCCCTATCCCATTGAAAGTTTTTCAATTGAGCGCCGCAGTCAGTTTAGTTCAAAAATAGTTAGGTAGTCTCATATATTATGATCCTGATACTGATTCTATGAAAAGTTCTCATCTTCGAATATCAGTTTAGTAACCGCTTTTTGATGGCAGTGACAGTAGTTCGAAATTGGTTCACTAGGTGGAGAATTCGTTTTATTCGATTCCATTCGGAGAATTCGTCGTTAAAAATGCTCAAACTTCTTGTTGTGTTCTTGAAGAGAAAGGAAACTAGTTTTAGGTTTAAGAGCTAATTATATTTTGACTCGTCTTTTCGGTGGTTGGAAGGAACTAAACTGGCAACATCTTTTCAGTTTGATACTTTCGTACCATGGCTACAAATCATAATCTTCTGGTGTTACGCAGATGGTACACTTCTTACAAATTCAACCAATCACGCTCAAAACCGTAGCGATGAATCTCAAATACTTGCCCAACTAGCAGCCAATATTTCTGAAAATATCTTTGGCATCTATTGGCCTCCCTTAGCTCAGTCGGTAAAGTTCGATTCCCGGTCCGGTCTAGGGATTTTTCGGGTTGAAAAATTTCTCGACTTCCCTGGGCATAGAAGTATGATTGGACTTGCCACATAATTATACCAATGCAAAAATGGTACAGGCATCGAAAGCTCTCAATTAATAACTGTGGAAGTGCATCTAGAACACTAACTTGAGAGCACGCAATAAGCTAATATGCGATATGCAATAAGCTTGAAATGCGAAGAAGAAGAAGAAGAAGAAGAAGAAGAAGAAGAAGAAGAAGAAGAAGAAGAAGAAGATCTATTGGCATCCGAAAAAGTTACAGTTCTTTGAATTAATTTGCAGAGAAAAAAAAGTAGAAGAGTCTGTGCCTACGGACTCGAACGGAATGGGTCGTTTGTTGTTTTATCTGGTATCCTTCAAGTGGATTTTTGCAGTTTTACAAAGGATGCGGGATGATTAGGCACTAATGCTGTCGACCGAGCAATCTCGATGTTGCTAGGATCTGTAGTCAAGACAAGATTGATACTTTTATTACTATTCAGATAATTGTTTCAACAAGCTACATACAAAATGGAATGGATATGAACAGTAAGGCCTGTAATTTCAAGGTTTTTTAAGGTAGGGCTTTGTTCAGAACGCTAAAAAAAAGCACACACACATCTTGAATTTTAAAATGGCGTCCGAAATTGATTTACAACCTCTCCACACGTCACCTGAACAACTTTGCTGAAGACAGCAACGTTCTATATGGCCAGGTTCTCGAGATACAGCTTATATAGAAAGCTCATGTGCACACTATCGCTGCGTAATGAGAGAGTTCTGAACTAATATGGCCACCTTCCGAAAGGACTTGATCACTTGAACAACTTTGCTCAAGACAGTAACTTTCTATATGGCCAGGATCACAAAATATTCTATGTTGGACCTATGATCCATATATTATAGCGCCCGTCATAAGTAGCATAAAAGGAAGCGCCTCTAGCGGCGTAGTTCCCTATTAAACCTGCATCCAATGGTACAGGCTTGTTGGTCTATCCCAGCACAACAACTTTGTGTAAGACAGTATAGCTCTATATATTGAAACAAATGAGATAATCCACCACAGCCCCTATTAGTGAAAATCCCATAAGCTGTGGTATCCTTATTCGCGGATAGCCCGGCAATAAGGATACCGGCAATAAGGAATCCGGCAATAAGGATTCCTGACTGTATTTGTGTAGTTTACATGTATGACTTATCAAGTGACACAGATGCGTCCTTTCAACTTTAGTTCTTTTGAAATTTAAATTATTACTGATTACAGATCCTAGTCTTATCAGGCCTGTTTTAGAGTATGGCCACCTTGGTGGGATTGGTTTGTTTCAAATTGGATAAAGGAGACTACTTATAACTACTATTTACAACTACAACTAACCTACAACTACTTTATACACCTAACCTACTATATAGCTCGCTATATACAAATAGCTTATCATAGCATGTTCTGATGTATTGTATTTCTGCACAAACCCAGCAATTTTCGAATCTAATTTAGGAACGTTCGCCTCTACATAGATGGTGACCGGAAATTCTTATTTCGAAAGGACGGCCATCTTCAGCACTCTATTCTGAGCGCCGTGGATTTTGTCCCTGTGAGTCTGTGCACATGATTCCCACACCGGAGCTGCGTAGAGGATCGCAGGTGCTATGCTTGTTCACTCTTGAGAGGCGAGATCAGCGGCAAATCAGCGGATACAGACACCTAACCAAGGCAAGAACACTTGACAACATCTCGAGCTAGGTTACTTCGGCGGACCACTCAACCCTTGTGCCATCCATGATTACAGTACACTCTTTGTTTGTTGTCGTCGCAGATTTTAATTCGCCGTTTTTCGTTGTTTTTTCGCGCTGTTTATTATCGGACGCGCTCTTTAGTGCAATATTTGATCAAAGCATATCGGAATCTAGTGTTGTTTACCTAGTTGTGCCACAGTGTTTTATGCAATTGTGTTTTTGTGAAATACGCATTGTATCATCGTAATCGCTCATACCTACTTACTCGCTGTCTCTCTTCCGAAGCGCCATCTACCAGTAAACTTTGTAATCTAGCACATCTCAGTAACCTGAACGTTGCATACATCTAGGCGCTTACATTCTTACTTGGATCACCGTAATATTGCGCTGCAGCTGGTGCTCCCACTGATTTTCACCACAGCATAGATCGGTTAAATCTGAATAGTTCGTTGCATTCTAGCCTAGGGAATATTTTCGGTGAACATGACGAACCCATAACTTCAGAAACCACCGCTGCTTCTGTTGTAAGGCGTTCTGCTGCTCTCACCACCACCACGACCGCCATTCCAACTGCTATCCTTGCCACAACTGTCACTAGATCGAATGAGAATGCCACTTCCGTTGCTACCACTAACAGCTCTACTGCTACATGCACCGTCGCCTCTACAATAACCATGAACACCGCTGCCAAGAACTGCACAACTGTCGCATCAATCACCGCACCTGAAACTCGAAACACGGTTACCTCAACAGCTACCTTGACAAATAACCGAGAGCCTCACGGACAATCTAACCGTTTAAGGGTTGTAATGAGACACGAACGTCGAAAGCAGCAAAGCAATACCGACACAACCGAAGTGTTGAAACTATTCTACATTACCCCTTTCCACATCGAGCAGACTGAAGAAGATGTCCTGGAATACCTCCGCGAAACCTTCAACATCGAAAATTCTACGGTGCGCTGTGTGAAGCTGGTAACAAGTCAACGAGCTAACCTTTGTCTCCTTCAAAGTATCCGTTTCACCCGACTTGGAAACCACTGTAGGGGATTCATTCTACTGGCCTGATGGAGTAAATGTATGTGAATTTGAATCAAAAAACGACGCGGCTCCAATCAACATACGAACACCAATACTTCCACAATAAGTTTATCGATACACTCTACATCAACTACTCGCAACTCTACGCAAATTTCATCTACTCTGGGACGCAACGGTGTTCGCCCTATGGAACCCACCGATCCTCTCACCACAGTCGTGCCTTTCCTGCCATCGTCCATCAGTCGTCCCGGCCCTGTGTGTGAGTTTGGAAACGTGGTCTTCCAAACTAATACCGCAGGCAAGTACGATTCATTCTTGTTCAGCCCAACTCCTGATTCGTTGCTTGGTTTCAGTACTACACCGTTTAGCCGTCATTATTCAAGACCTTCAACTCTGGGACGCAACGATACTGGCTACATGGAAGCCCCTAATCCCCCTACCACAGTCAAGCTTTTCCCGTCATCGGCCAACAGTCGTCCTGGCCCTGTGTGTGGGGTCAGAGAAGGGGTCTTCCAACCCGCTATCTTTGGCAAGTACGTTTCTGTTTTAAGCAGTTCAACTTCTGATCAATCTAATGGTTCTAGCGTTGCAATCAACTGTCCCTCTTCAAACGTCAGCGAGTTTAACTATCCAAACAGCACGGTAGTGACCAGCAGCAATAATGATGCAGTTCATTCAGGACACAACTTTCTATCCGTCTACTACCAGAACGTCAGAGGTCTGCGCACTAAAACGACAGAATTGAAGTTAAGGCTATCGAGCTGCGACTACGATATAATTGTTTTTACCGAAACATGGCTCCGGTCTGATATAAGCGATACGGAACTCACTTCCGACTACTCTATATTTCGGTGTGATCGAAGTGAAACTACTAGTAATTCTTCGAGGGGTGGTGGAGTTTTCGTAGCTGTTAAAAATAATTTGCACTGTACTGCGGTTTCTTTGGACGATTGTAGACAGCTTGAAGTAAGTGTTGTACGAGTAACACTTACTCACCATTCGCTGTTGATCATTGGCATCTATCTTCCCCCGAATTCCGACGCAAGTTTATATTCGGCTCACGCTACTTCTGTCCAGAACTTATAGGATCGTTCGTCGGACAATGACATTATTCTACTCTTCGGGGACTACAATCTTCCTCATCTGCAATGGTGCTTCGATGAGGACGTTCGAACGCTTCCAGTGAACAAGAACTCAATCTCACCGAATCCATCTCTGCGTGCGGGCTGGTTCAAGTGAATTCTTATACGAACCCGAGCGGTAGACTTCTAGATCTAGCATTCACGAATTCTCCAGATGTCATTGAAGAACTGCGGCCACCACTTCCACTTTTATCCACCGACGCCCATCACCCACCGTTTATTTTACTAGTGGATGTGCACAGCGTCATCATAAACCACCAAATCGACGCGGATTCGGATGCAATTGACCCAGATTTCAGGCAATGCAACTTTGATTCACTTAATGCCGCGTTTTCGTCGATCGACTGGCAGCTTCTTCTACATGAACACACTGTTGATGTAAACGTTATCTTGTTTTATGATTATTCACTCAATTGTTCCTCGTCGCCGTCGTATTTCAAGTTGCGTCAACAGGAAGCCTTGGTGGACGGCTGAATTGCGAAATCAGCGTAATAGACTGAGGAAAGCACACAAACGATATATCGCTGATAAATCGAACGAGAACAGAGATTTCCTTCATCTAATGGAATCATCCTATAATGAACTACTCTCTTCAAGCTACCAAGTATACATGCGCAAACTTGAATCCAACCTAAAACAAAATCCGTCGATGTTCTGGAGGTATGTTAAAAAGCAAAAGGCTAGCAATCGTGTATCGAATAACGTTATCTACGGTGATTCCATGGCCAGCACACCTGAAGATGCTGCCAATCTTTTTTCGAATTTTTTTCAAAGTGTGTTCTGTTCAACTTCTCCTGTACCTCGCCCGGATTGTTTCCAACACGTGCCATCTTATGGTATCCACCTTCCAATCTTCAGTTTTTCTTGTGACGAAGTGTTAAGTACGTTTGCTAAATTAGATGCTTCGAAGGAGCGGGAGTCGATGGTCTGCCACCGATATTAGTGAAGAACTGCGCTGCATCTCTGGTTGAACCATTGACGTTACTGTTTAACTGTTCGTTAGAACAAAAAACGTTCCCAAGTTTATGGAAAACCGCGTCAATGATTCATGTACACAAATCTGGCAGTTTAAACAATGTGGTAAACTATCGAGGTATTTCAATTCTCTGCTGTCTGGTAAAGTTTCTCGAATCACTAGTGCATAAGATCGTGCTGAATGCAGCGAAACCGATTATCTCTGAGTATCAGCACGGATTCATACCACACCGGTCTACTACAAACAACTTACTGTGCTATACCAACGTACTGTTCCGTGAGATAGAACGTTGCAACCAGGTGGACTCTATTTACATCGACTTTTCGAAAGCGTTCGACACCGTCCCGCATGCCTATGCCACAGAAAAACTGAAACACATGAGATTTCCGGACTGAATTGCGGACTGGATAAGGTCATATCTAACGGGTCGAAAGGCATTTGTGCAAGTGAACTCGTCTCGTTCCAATACGTTCGACATACCATCTGGCGTACCACAGGGTAGCGTGTTAGGACCTTTGCTCTTTGTCCTCTTTATTAACGACCTGTGCCTTCGAATATCCTCTGGAAAGCTCCTTTATGCTGATGACCTCAAAATCTTCAGAATTATCGCGTCTGTACTCGATTGTATTGTACTGCAGGCTGACATCGACGTAGTGTCAATCTGGTGCAAAGAGAATGGTATGAGCGTGAACATCAATAAAGGGTGTCCACGATGAAATTGCCACACACAAAATTGATTCGCAAAATTCGAGTTTTCATCCGATTGCCATCAAATTTTCAGGGATTAAGAAATAACTATTAAACTTCATTTTACCAGTTTTACTCGTATTTTATTTACAGTCCATACGCAAATGCCCGCACCTTGGCCTTAACCCCGGCCATAAGATTCTGCACAACCTGTGAATCAACCGTTTTTTGCATGTAAACCCATACTTTCTTCAGTTCCTCGACTGTCTTCACTACCTTAGGTCGTTTAAGAAGGTGCTGCTTCATAATCGCCCAGTACTTCTCGATGGGGCGGAGCTCCGGAGTGTTGGGAGGGTTGAACATTTTCGGCACGAAATTGACCTTATTGTCCGCATACCACTTCAGCACGTCCTTGGAGTAGTGGCATGAGGCCAAATCCGGCCAGAAGATTGTTGGGACGTTGTGGGCCTTCAGGAGAGGAAGCAGCCGCTTCTGGAGGCACTCTTTTATGTACACCTGTCCGTTCATCGTATCCTGGGTCACGAAAGGTGCACTCCGCTTCCCGCACGTGCAGATGGCTTGCCAAACCAGGAATTTCTTCGCAAATTTGGACATCTTCTGAGTGCGGACATGCTCCGGAACGCTGAACTTATCCTTGGCCGTGAAAAACAGGTTGCCGGGGATCTGTTTGAAGTCGGCCTTCACATATGTTTCGTCGTCCATGATGCAGCATTCAACTTTCGTCAGCATGTTGAGGTACAACTTCCTGGCACGGGTTTTGGCGGACTTGTTCTGCTTCTCGTCGCGATTAGGGGCCTTTTGTACCTTGAACGTTCGAAGCCCAGCCTTAGTTTTGGCCTTCTGGACAAAACTTCGGCTTAGGTGCAGCTTCTTAGCCACATCCCTAACGGAGGCGTTCGGATTTCGGTTGAAGGCCCCAACTACGCGGTTGTAATTTTTGGTGTTGTACGGAATACTTTTTCCTTCACTTCTGGGCTTCCGATCGGTGGTCAACCGTTCCTCGAACCGCTTAATCACTCGCGACACCGTGGAATTCACGATTCCCAACGTTTTAGCGATGGAACGATGCGAGAGATCCTTGTTCTCGTGATGAATGCGCAAGATTTTATCACGCACGAGCTGTTCTTTCGACTCCATTTCCGCGAGTTTTGATCACAGGACTTTAAAACTTGCAGGATGTAAATAATGCACTATGAACTAAATCCACCCAAATTTTCATTAAATTCTACCCAACGGTTAAAAAGTTAGAGCAATTTCATAGTGTGGCAATTTCATCGTGGACACCCTTTAAATGCAAAACGATCACATTTAGTCGCTGTTTGTCAACGCTCACTCACCAATATCGAATTGACACTACTCCGCTAGAACGTGTGCAATTTATTCGCGACTTGGGAGTTATAATTGACTCTAAACTTAGATTCAGCGAACATGTCTCCACCATGACAGCAAATGCTTTCTCCGTACTCGGGTTTATTCGTGGTAATGCTTCTCAACTAACCGATGTGTACACATTAAAAACACTCTTTTGTGCTTTAGTGCGCAGCATTCTGGAATACGCTGCCCCGGTTTGGGCACCATATCACACGTCCCAGGTGATCCGCATTGAACGTATACAAAAAATGTTCATACGATTTGCACTCCGGAACCTACCGTGGAATGATCCCGTGAATCTTCCTGATTACCAACAAAGGTGCCGTTTAATCAACTTAGAGTTGCTATCAGTGAGACGGCTGAGATTGCAACAATTGGTTGTATTCCACATCCTGATGAACAACACCGACTGTCCAGATCTTCTACAGGAAGTTATGCTTAACGCACCTCAGCACCAATTACGAAACTCTGCCCTTATTGTCATTCCCAGTCACAGAACTAGTTATGGGTTTAATAGTCCGCTAAGTTCCTGTCTTAGAGCTTTTAATGCTGTTTGTGATGACTTCGATTTTAAATTTAACTAGGCTCTGTTTTAAAAATAGGTTAAGAGTAAATGTGATAGGTTAAGATTAGTCTGTGCGAAACCGTCGAAGACTGAATGAATAAATAAATAAAAGGGATCCGGTTTTAGTTTGGGCGATTGCAGATCGAGGAACATGATCGCTTGTGTTTTGGAGGCATTGATGTTGATTTTCCACGTGGTGGCATAATCAGCAAAGGCGTTAAGGCATCGTTGAAGTTTGTTCGTTATTTCGCTACGCATCCTTCCTTTGACGGCTATTGCAGTATCATCTACAAACAGGGTAGGAATGTCGGATTGCTGTAAAGCAAGGGGCCCAACAGACTGCCTCATGGTACTCCTGTTGGGATGGAAAACGTGTCTGAAAGACAACCATTCAACGATACCATAAACGACCTTTGCTGGAAGTAGTTACGGATGATTTAAACAAGATGCAAAGGAAAGTTAAAGTTGCAAAGCTTGTATATAAGCCCACCGTGCCATACATTGTCAAACGCTTTCTCAACGTCTAACAATGCCATGGTTGTGGACTGTGATATAGCTTTGTTACTTCGGATGTTATTCATCATCCTTACTAGCTGTTTTCCTCGAAAAACTTGAGCAAACGATTGAGAATGAGTTTCTCGAACAATTTGCTTAGCGCTGAAAAGGAGCCTGATTGGTCTGTAGTGCTGATTGATTGAAGGTTATGTTGGATCCTTACCGGGCTTGCGGATTGGTATAATTGTTGCTACCTTCGAGATGCTTGGAAAGTAGTGCAGCTCCAAGCATCTGTTGAAGATAGCGGCCAAAAGAGACTGCACTTTCATGCTGAGTATCTTCAAGATTAAGTTGAATATACCGTCAAACCCGGGAGCCTTCATATTCTTGGTACATTTCAGCGCTGATCAAATCCGTTGTACTGTTATCTTATCCGCCGGAGGCATGAAACAAGGGGAGGCATCTAGGCTTTGAACGCATTGCGCAACCTGATCATCGAGCGGACTTTGGATAGTCGAGTCAAGCAAATTCGATGAAGCGACATGCTCGCGGATCGCAATTGCTTTCTCCTGTGGGGTGATTAAAAGCCGATCGTCATTATTTTCGACTCTGAGAGGTGGAACGGGTTTACGATGAGTTTTTAAGACCTTGGCTACCTTCCAGAATGGTCTGGAGGGGTCATTCAGATTCTGGACAACACGCCCGATACTTTCTATTTCGGAGTGAGTTCATTCTGGAAGCAATCTGCTTGTTTAGATCGGCCATTTCAAGTTTTTTTTCTCTGATCTCCAGTCCTCAAGCGAATCAGTAATTGAGTGTGGGAATCAATAGCAACAAACTTACCCCTCACAGGAACTCGTCGAACACATGCCTCTCGTCAGCCACGGATATGGCATGTTGGAGTCCTTCCAACGCCCGGTCGATGTCATCTACGGTATCAAGTGGTGGATGTTCGTCGATGCCTGTGTCAGCCACACGTTCAAACTGCACCCAGTTGACATGGTGGTAGTCTTTGCGCTGGCTTGGAGCAGGAGCCATGTTGATGCCGGTCGGAACTAAGATTGTTGTGCACCTCCGGTTTGGATAGTCCGATTTTTGACAGGAAAAAGTCCAGGGTGGAGGGATTTCCCCCCGGAGAGATGAAAGTTGGTTCGCCCGGAAACTTCACAGTGTACAGTCCATGTTGTGCGTGGTCGAACAAAAGACATCCGTTCCGGTTCCGCTGGTAGTTCCACCAAGCTTCATGGCGAGCATTCAGGTCGCCCCCAACGAAGAATAGGGAGCTGGCACGAGTGATGGCGATCAGGTCGTTCTTGAATTTGCTTGCTAATCCGTTGTTGGCGGCACACTGCCGTGGGCAGTAAACAGCGATGAACCGGACATTTCCAGTTGGCGATTCCACGTTAACACTAAGAGCCGTGATGATAGAAGTGCGGATGTGGGGCAGAGTGCAGAATTTGATTCCTTTCTTGATGACGACCGCAACACCGATCAAGTCGGATAACGTTGTGGTCAGGCAACCAGAAGCTGTCGTCGGACTTTAGGTGGGTTTCAGTTAGAAGGCCCACGTCGATGTTATGCTTGCGGAGGAAGTCGGCAAGCTCAATCTTTTTTGCTCTTACAGAGCAAGCATTCCAGGTGACGATTCGCGGTTTAGACGCCATACTGGATGATATATCGAGTACGTGGATCTGCTCGGACTTATTGCGGCACTTACGAAGAGTACCAGTCATGTTGACGAAAATTTCCATCAGTTCATCATCCGCTGATTACAGATCGAGGTTGTTGTTTTGCGCTGTTGGTTGTCTCCAGAATCCAATAATCCAGGGGAGGGGTGGAGATCTTTGTTCAGCAGAATCACTGGAAGCTTCTTGAGAGGGGCGGGATGCAACCGCGAATTCGCTTGCCTTTGCTGAGGATCACGAAGAGGTGGGAAATCCTCCGTTCTTGCGTCCTGGTTGATTGTTGGTTGCAGCCTGCTTTCGGATGCGTTTGAAGTCCTCGCGTTTGGAGCACTGTCTCTCGGAACCTTGATGAACACCACCACAGTTGGCGCATTTTAACGCCACGGCTTCATCCGCAGGGCAGTCAGAAGTGGCATGTTCTTGAGCGCAGTTGCTGCAGCGTGGTTTGATGTTACAGTTGCGGGTACCGTGTCCAAAACTGAGACACCGCTGGCACTGCATTACGTCACGATGGCCGCCACGGTATGGCTCCCACCGTACGATGATGGAGTAGATCGAGCGGATGGCTTGCACCGCATTGAGCGTCACTGTCCCTTTCTGGAAGTGCTCCAGGAAAAGGCAATCCGGGTACGTCTTCACGTTTTCGTCTTTCCTCAACATCCGGAAGACAGCGATTGTGGCCGGTACTATATCTAATGATCCTGGTCATATGAAAGCTCCCGTCTCCGGCAAAGTTATCCAGTAAAGTGAGATCCTCCAGTTGGCGGATGGTTTTTATGTATTATTGGCTCACTGGGTGACGCAATTCAGCAACAATATTGTTCAAATAAATACTGCTTTTTCAACCATGATGAACAACTTTTTTGATAAGGATAGCATATGTACTAGTGAGCGTAGTTCACGTCTATAGCACCCATCAACACACGGACCGGGACCAACAGCTATTCTTTCGTTCCTGTGGAAGGCGTGACCAGAGATGTTTCGCCTCAGAAAATGCCAACTATTTACCTCAGCCGGGAAGGGGCATACAAATTGCTCATGCGCCTATCTTTACAATGCTTTGTTGAGTCTTCAAGATCTAAACTCCGGGTTGATTTGAAAAACTTCCAATACCGTATTTCTCCCAAAGAGACAACATTTAGGCTTGAAGAAAACTCTTAAATTGTATGCGGATTCATAATTTCTTGAGATTTTGGAGATCTACAACGTGTTCATGAACATCCCATTTCATATTTTTTCTGCATAGTAGACGTATTTCTCGGATCGAATAAAGAGCCACTGTATACACTTTTGTTTTATTTTTCGTTTTTTGGTGTTTAAGCTTCAAGCAGTCACGGTAGTGCACTAAATGCACGCATTTTGAAAAAAAAAAGTCGCAAAAATAGTTGAAATCCCATTAAAATTGGTCCGAGTGTTGGTTGTATTCCAAAATCTACTCTTCCAAAACATGAATAGCTGAGAAATTTATGTTTCTTTGATTTCTATATGGTGGTACACTTTGTGAAAACCGAAAATGGAGCATGTAACAAAATTATGAAAGATTTTGAACGTTAATAACTCAGCTGCCCCTGGACCAATTTCAGTAATGTTATAACCAATCGATCAGAAATATTTCTACGAATCTGTTAAAATAAGACTTTATCATTTTTTTTTTCAAAATGTCACTATTGAAAATTGCACTATGTGCAACTGTTGCTATGATAATTTAAATTATCACCGATTGCCTGCGAAAAGCGATTTCCCTAACACAGATTTCAAAGATGAATTCCATCTGGTCTCACCACGAAGCGAGTGGTAGTGCTCTTTATAGTGGTAGTGACTATATTCATAGTCTGGCGGATAGAATCTCGGGAACCAATTGAGCTGTCAAATAGCGGAACCAATCGAGCAAATCACGACCAACAACAGAAATGAGCACATCAGCTATTGCGAACAAAACTTCGGAAACCCTTTTCTCGTGACTCAAGGCTCGCCTATGCAAACTAACACCATCTTTGGGTTGGGCAAAGTTTCCCCTATCCGTTGATGCCGGTAATTTGCGTTCGATTCGCAAGGTAAGAATAATCAACGTTTTGTTTATAAAAGTTGATAGTACCTTTTCATTTGTTCGACTAAAATATATTGAATGGGTTCCGCTTTTTGATAGATCGAAGTTCTATCCGCCAGAATATGAATATAGCGACTATAATGTTCTCCAGTACACAACGAAAGGCTACCTGCAAGCAGCAAACTGTAGCCCACAGGAGCATCCATAGAAGGAGGAAGAAGCCGCACCGCTATTGATCGGAATCAGTAGCTCTTCGTGAGTCGCTGTGGGCCATCTATGTCTAGCGCGTCATACTAAAGAGTACAAACAGAGAGAACCCCGCTCAAATTCCTATTCTTACACAAAACACAAGCTCCTGCTGCAGTTAACAAATAAGATTTATTATATAAGACCACGTAGTCCTACGTCATCATTGCGTACAACCACTTAGGGCTGTCCCTTGTAGTTTTTTTTTTCCAACAACTTTGTCTCAGACATCATTTCGATTTGAAGTGAAGTTATCGATTTATGATTTGTTGAAACATATCGAATGCGCCATTTTGAAGTTTTTTTTTAGAGATTCAAAATGGCCTAATTTTAGCTCAAATGTGAATGATTGACCATAACAAACAATTATGCAAAGTTTGATACAAATCGGAGAATGTTGAGTCTGAAATTAATTTGTTGTTGCTATTTGGCCAGGAAATGCTCAACATGCTCCAATCTAATAGTTATATAAAAATTACAATTACTTACATTTCATCGCTGCTGTTGGAATTGGTGATATAGTATCGGAATTCTTCAATCGAGAGGTCAGAGTATTGATTAGTGCCCATGTAGAAGGTCTCCTTGCCCAAGTTGTAACGCTTGTTGTGCTGGATAATCACCTGTCTATGCTGACTGAATATTTTAAAACGTTGCTGCTCTTCAAATTCACTGGCATATTCTTTTCCGTGTTCTAACTGTAAATGAAGAATAAAATTAAGTTATCTCCTAACTGATAAAAATACACTAAAGTCATTTTTCACATATTTTTAACGCGGTTTTTTTTACACGGTTTGCACCGCTGAGTCGCAATTTACACAGTACGTTTTTAACGTTTTTGATAACGATACAACATATCATCTTGATTCGAATCACATTATCAATTTCATGCCGTAGGTATCGAATGGAAAACTTTTAAAAAATCACAATTTTTGGTGTAAATTCAGATTTTTAAAAATATGTTTATATTTTTTTATTTTCAATAGCGACCAAAAATGTTTACCGTCGTTTGACTGCCGAGAGCTAAAAAGGGGTGTTCGTTGCGTTTTGCACTGAAAACGAAACTAACTCAGAAAGTGAATAACTTTTACTCAGTTGTGAGTTACTCATTCGTATGGATAAATTTCTAAGAGCATAGGTTATTCAAATGGATGAGACCTATTGTAGACTGGACAGCTCAGATCACAATTCTCATATCTGTCGGCACTTATGTACGATTTGACTTCTGATTGCTTGCTTTTACTTAAATGCTCTGCTACATAGAAGATTGCTTTCTTTGGAAAAGTTGTTCAGATGAAATCAACATATTCCTGGAATTATGCGTTTGTCTTTAACTTTCATTTTAATTGCTGTTACTTGAGAAATGGTGACTACACAAAGCAAAACTTTTTTGTCTATCACCTATATTCTTGTCTTCGTTCGAACCACAAAGAATAAATAATAATGAAAGTTATGAAAACTATAACTATAACTAGAACTTTATGATGTATATGGGTCGTTCCGCGCAAGTGACCGACAAAAAATACAAAAGTGAAATGGACCTCTTACGATTTGGACCAAATTTGGAGGGGATGTTTATTTTGGTCGAATTTTTATGAATCCAAACTTTTGTGCCAATCGAAGCAGCACCCCTCGGTCCAGGGGAGCATTTTCTATTTTTCGAGGTTTTCAAGACAGCACTACTTTCCTTTATCAATATCTTCGGAACAAGTAAACCTAAAATTAACATAATAGAGAATTTATATGAGAAAATTAGGCAAGGAATCTAAATTTATTATTTTTGTGCAGTGTTTCCCAGTATTTTATATTTGTGTTTAAAACCTTGAAACTGAACTTTCTCAGAATGAGTATATTTAGATTTCCATTCTGACAGCACCATCGTGTTCCCCATCTTTTTTTTTACATAAGAATCACTTATAAGCCAAAACTAAGTTACGTATATCCTGCAGGATGCCTTCCATTCATTTTGACTAAAAAAATGTTTTATTAAATTATGGAATAATAAGATATTATGATGATATTTTGTATGTGTAGGTAATAAGAAAAGATTGTAAAGTTTGTGTTTCACACATCAAACTTGCAAATTTAGCTTTTACAGAGTCACAATGAGCGTTTTTCTGATCGCCTCTTCGCGAAGAGTGAAGAGCGAAGAGGGGGTGAGATAAATTACAAAATCGTTTATTGCGACTCTCATGTAGCAAAGTTGGCAGGTATTATGTGTCAAACACACACTTTACAATCTTTTCTTGTTGTTTACATAATCAAAATATTTTCATAATATCTTATTATTCCATAATTTATTAAAACATTTTTTTAGTCAAAATGAATGGAAGGCACCCTCATCCTGAGAAACAGAATTTTGAAGCAAATAATGCCAATTGGGTTCTTTATTTTGAAAAATATATCGGTTATTAAATATCATCTCAAAGAGCTTCGTTTTCTGAGCAAAGCGATATTTTTTTCGAGCCCACACACTTTCATCTGGATTTTTAAATCAGGATTTAAAGCAAAATAATAACTTCACTGTTTGACACTAAACTGACAAACTGACAGCTCACTCCCATACAAAGTGACACCGAGGGGCGCTAATAAGGTGATTTTTGCAAATGTAATCGTACTTATTTAAAATAGTTCCAGTGTACCAAAATTGATTAAATTTTGGGTTTGGGTTCCATTTTTAATGAAGACTACTTATATGCATTTACCTCAATACCCTTAAAGAACCCAATTATAAGAAACACTATTCTTTTCAATTCTATTTTCTCCTTCTCTTCTAAGTAAAAGAACTTATTTTTCTCACCTACTGTTTCAAATGTTTTTTTTTTAAGCAAGAAAACATAAAATCAAGAATAAATTGTTTACAGTGTTGCCAAATTTCAAGATTAATGTTCCATTTAAGTAAATATGAAACCTAATTATGAATAATGAAGGAATAGATTTTCTGATTTTAAAAATTTAAAATAATCTTAGGATTTATTCAATAACCGCCAAATTTCACAAATTTTAATAATGAATTGTTTATTTTGGCGTAAAATTTCCAAACCATTTATATTGATATTAATATATTATTGAATGGAGCAGCAAAAAAAATTTCAACAATGCGGTCGTGCTTTGGACACAACTCTTAACATTTTTTTACACGGTACATATCCTCCGTGTAAAAAAGACCTGAGTGTAATCCCTAATAAAAAATGACCATAAACGAACGATAACCCAAATCATTGAACTATTCCACAAATGGTTTGGATGATACCCAGAACACGTCGTTAAGCAAATTAACCATACAATTTTTATTAGGGATACTTTCAAGATAGGTTTAATCTTTGAAAATAACAGCTGGACGTTCTGTTTTACCAGAAAGGGCTCAGAAAAATGTTTATGCTTTTAGATCAGCATTGTAAGTCCTTCTCACTCACATAATTTTAATATCTCATCAAAGTGGATGCATTTCAATCAACAATCAATACGAAACTAACGGTTTTAAATTGGCTCACCACTTTAGTAGCCTATTGGTCCCAAGCAAACGATTAACGTACCCTATTCTAGTTGAAATTCTATTACTACACTAAGTTTGTTTTGTTTTGATTCGCTATGAAAGTTTGACAGATAACATCAGGGGTGTGTGGATTCATGCAGAACATGCAGGGATGAGTGAAATAGCTTGGGACCGTTGTTCTGGTACTGAGTGAGCCAAAAATAATAATGATTTTCTTCGGGACCCAGTGGTCTTAGAGTTACCTCTATGCTTCAATCGTGTCGAAAGTATGGTGTAACATTTCTTGTCAAAAAGGACAAAATTATCATTAATACAGTGCATGAACTGACATTACGCTGCTTTTACTGCATTTGTTTATTTTTGTGGCCATAAAAATTACGTGAGATTTTCAACATGATTGAAGTGCATCCTCTTGGATGTAATATTAAAATTTAATTTTTGCTGTGTTGTTGAAACAATTATCTGAAAAGTAATAAAAGTAACGAACTTGTCTTTGTAGAGTCGATGACTACCAGTATGATTCTTAAACTAAGTGCCGCACCCCTTGATGATGATAGAGAGAGATAGAGAAAGAGGAAAACAGAGAAAGGGAGAAGGACACCGACATAATAGGTGAGGGAGAATCAGTTGAATGTAAATAGCGATCGGGATTGGAATAATAAAAGAAGGTTTGCTGCGTGAGATTAAATTGTTTATATTATTGAGATTCTGAAGAAGTGGCACGGACTGGGAGGGGACTCTACCAACCGGTGGAAACTTACGATTTTAAATTGGCTCACTACTTGACTAGCCTATTGGTCCCAAGCAAACGATTAACGTATCCCATTCTAGTCGAAATTCTAGTACTACACTATGTTTGTTTTGATTTGCTATGAAAGTTTGACTGATAAAATGAGGGGTTCGTGGATTTTCTTATGTTTCGAGAGGTGCATCGATTAGCTTGGGACCGAAGATAGTATCAGAGCTGAGCCAAAAAGTTGAGCACGTATCTTCGGGACCTTCTGGTCTTAGAGTTACCTCTATGCTGGTAGGTCCCGAAGAAACGTGCTCAACTTTTTGGCTCAGCTCTGGTCGAGGCTCTGGTACTATGTTCAGTCCCAAGCTAATCGATTCACCCCTCGAAACATAGGAAAATCAACTAACCCCTTATTCTATCTGTCAAACTTTCATAGCGAATCAAAACAAACATTGTGTAGTACTACAATTTTGACTAAAATGGGGTACGTTAATCGATTTGCTTGGGACCAATAGGCTAGTCAAGTAGTGAGCCAATTTAAAATTGTTTGTTTCCACCGGTTGGCAATAGTGCATAATAATTATTTCTAACACTGCAACAATTCGTTTGAGCGATAGCAAATAAAACAACAAACGTAAAAAAAGTATAATAGAAAAGAAAACGTGATTCAACATGTTTGCAAGCATCAGAAGAGATGTCGCATGTTTGATTTTCTCCCGGACCAGAAATGATAATTTTTAATTTCAGTTTATTTACGCGATGCAAGGTGCGTGAAAGAGCTCGGCAAATCGGTGTTGATGTTGGCTCGGTTGCAATTTTTTTTGTGTTTTCGCAAGAAATTGATAGACAGGGTACCAAAAGTGCTTCTGAACGTATTTCGCAGTTGGGTGTGGTGAAATTCGTGAATTCGCGGTTTATGTTCAGTGAAAATTCCGTATCACAAAATTGCTCACCGAGTTCCCTTTTTTTGCCGTTCGGCCACGACGGCTTTGCGAGAGAAAAATAAGCATTGGGAATGTGCTACCGGATGTATTGATTTGGTGTGTACGTTCCAGTTAAAGATTGTTCTTATACATTATTCGATTGCATTTTCGAGGGGACGTCCGGAGAGCTTTGAGATTTAGGCGTTGTTGCTTTTGCGGACAGACGCGTTGATCACCGGTAAGGGCCAGTAAGTGCTGCCAGCAGATGAATCAAGAGGTATTCGAAACAAAATTGATAAGAAATTTCCATTCAAATCGATTTAATACAGTTGAACAAATTTCAAAACTGTATACGTTCCAGATTTGGAAATAATATTTTTTTGAATCTGGAAGTGTGTTTATGATACCATTATCCATTTGATAAAGGTAGAGTGAACATGCGGGGCTTATTGTAAGTAAAAGTGACCTCGGAGTGTCGTGAACTATCAGGCATTCTGAAATGGGTCACTGGAGCTGCAATAGAGCTAACACCTTTTAACTCCC